TCAGTGGTTGAGTGCCCCTGAGTTCAATCCCTGGTACCAAAAAAAAAAAAAAAAAAAGAATGAGGTAGGTTTATGTGTAGTATGTGTAGATGTGGGACTTTCAAAATAGATCAAGTGAGGAAAGCAATCTGTACAATAGTGCTCATGGCATAAGCTCATGCATAGAAAAATAGTAAAGGGTCTGCATGCTTACCCAGAATAGAACATGCATGGGGGAAAAGCAAGACCTTCTTAAGAAACTTCCCTCTGTGGAGAGGGACCAGACTTTACTTCACATCTTCTGTGATACACAAATTGTTTTTTAACCATGAGAATATTAAAAACAACAACAAAAAAGCATGAGGTTAAAAATGTCAATTCTGAGTATTATAGATAGAATTTCTTAGAGCACAGCCTGTTACACACTGAGCGTATATTACACAAAAAACTAAGTATTTTTTTAAAGTACAGTTTATGTGTATCCCCATATCTCATCAAAAATATAAAGGAATCTCACATGTGGCAGTTTATTATCAAGAAAAAATGGAAGGCCACAATATTTATTTAAAAATACAATTTTCACTGGGCACGGTGGTGTGCACCAGTAATCCAAGTGGCTCAGGAGGCTGAGGCAGGAGGATCAAGAGTTCAAAGTGAGCCTCAGCAAAAGCAAGGCACTAAGCAACTCAGTGAGACCTTATCTCTAAATAAAAATACAAAATTGAGGGGCTGGGGTTATGGCTCAGCAGTAGAGAGCTTGCCTCGCACGTGCAAGGCCCTGGGTTCAATCCTCAGCACCACATAAAAAATAAATAAATAAAATAAAAAAGGAATGGGGATGTGGATCAGTGGTTGAGTGCCCCTGAGTTCAATCCCTGGTACCAAAAAAAAAAATTTTTTTTTTGAAGAGTAGGAGCACAGTATAGACTTAGAATGCATTGATGATTAATAAAGAAATAGACTTTTCAGAGCAGTTTTAGGTTCACAGAAAAACTGAGCAGCAGAAGGTATAGAGATTTCCTATATTCCACTTGCCACCATAAACTTGCCCCCCCCTTACCAGAATGGTACACTTGTTATCACTGCAGAGCATATACTGACACATGATTATCAGCCAGAGCCCACAGTTGACCTTAGCATTCTGGACGTTCTGTTTAGACAAGTTTGTGATTCATATACAGTATTATAGCATCATATAGAAGAATTTCACCTATACATACTGTGCGCCGCCTGCTCGTCCCTTCCTCCCACCTTCCCCGGCAACCACTGAACTTTTTACTATCTCCATAATTTTGCCTCTTCCTAGATGAAACAGTTTTAGTTCAATTGAATTGAATTTTTTTTTTACGCATCTCATTAGATAATTCCCACTAGGTGGCAGCGAAGATTTAAATACTAAGAAAAACGCCATGTAACAGAATTTTTTAAGGAAGAAATAAACTTGAGAGATATTTTTCCAGCTCTACAAATGAAGGCTGTTGGGTTCAGCAAGGCTGACAGAGTGGTTTGAGGTCTCCACCTACATGAGCAGAGAAGTCTAGGGAGATGGTTGCTGGATTAGGGCTTGGGCTTTGGTGTGGGAAGACTTGGGTCATTTACTCCCTCTGACCTATCATTTCTTCATCTGCAAAATGCTGACAATAGCAGCTACTTGCTGGGAAGAAGCAGCGAGATCATCACTGTAAAGTGCTTCGCAAGCACAAGGCTTGGTACTACACATATACTCAACAGGTCTTCCCCTGCTTCCTGACTCTAGTCAAGCACCTTGGCACCCAGGCATTCTGGAGCTATGCAAGAAGAACAATTGGAGAACAAGGACCACCAAGATATTCTTCCCCGAGGGCTGCTATGGATCAGGAAGGGCTCTGTGAACATGGTACCAATCCTAGTCAAAACGCCTTGCAGACGGGAAGCCCTTGACCTTACAGGTGGTGTCTATACCACTCAGACCCTCTGAGCCCTGCCTATTATCAAAGGCAGGCATTTGGAGGATGCTTAATAGAGAAATATTCACACAGTGCTGAATGCTTAAAACCAGGCAGCCAAGCTGGGCTGGAAGAGGAGGCTGGGGCAAAGCTTCCTCCATCCCAAACTTTATGACACAAGCAAATCAACAAAGACTGCCTCCTAGATAAGAAAAAACCACCCGCGTGAGCTGGTCCCCGTTTTCCAGTGTATTCCACCAAGGCTGCCCACTCCCTCTGGACAAAGCCACAGTTTCCCTTGGGGCAGCCTGAAGTCCTGCTGGGCAAAGGGTAAAAGATGGAGAGATAAAGAGCGCACTGGATGGTTCACTTCTTCCATGCTCGCTCCAATTGAGCTCCTTTATAAAGAACAAAAAGTCCTACTCTCTATCTGCATGTTTTTCAGCTGTTGAGAAAATTGTTTCCACATCACTGAAGCAGCTGCTGATAAATATAGAAAGCTGGTGATTGGCACTGGAATTACTGTCAAAGTCAGAAATAGGTGAATATGGAGCAGCATCAGGGAAACAAAATCCACTAGTGACAGCCAGTGTTCTGGAAAAAAAGGGAAAACAACAACAACAACAACAAAAAAAAGAGCCTTAAACTCTTTGCCTCAAGCCCTACTCTTGGCACCAAAGCCAGAGCAAAGTAGGGATTTGGCTACTTATGTTCAAGTTCAACTCACATCCAAGTACACACCTGGTTCCATATTTTTATCATGTTGTTCAAAGGCCATAAATATCATTATTAATAAGGATCCTGCTTGTCTGCCTTAATCTTTCTAATACTTTTTGGCAAAGGCCCATGGACACCTGGGTTTCAAAAATATTTGAGCTGAAGAAAGGGACATATGGCTCTTGGAAGGAGGGTGTTGCTCCCAAGCTAAGAGGAGAGGTTTTCTCTTAAGTGCACTTAAGGTCTGTCAACCTGGACACCTATGTTCTCCTTGAGAATGACTTTCTGCCTTCCTAGAATTCCCCATTCAGGATGGTAAGGGACAAAAAGATGTCTTTTTTTCTGCAAAGATGCCTTTTGGAAAGGAAGACTGGGGACATGGAGCCACAAGAAGAACAAACATGTGATGGCTCAGTTTCCACCCATCTCAGCCTTCTCAGGTCTGCATGCTTCGGACATGCTCAGTCATTCACAAAAGTGGTAACAGCCCTTCAGAGCATCTGTCCATCAAGGATCAAAGCCTTCAGAATATGGAATGGGACGGTTTCCAGTGTTGCAGAATTTTTGGCAAAGGCATCAGAGATAGTGATGAGTATTCCAACTTCCAAAGA